ACCTCAGTTTGGGGCAGAGCATGGGCTGCCTCTCAAGCTGCCCTTTCCCCTCATGATGAAGTAGGGCCATCATGCTGGCACAGGCTGTGCACAGCCACAGGAAGCCTCTCCTCAGGGCGCATGCTTGGCTTTAAAGGGACTGCAGGAAGGCTGATGCAGGTGGGGAGAGCAGAGAGCTGAACAAAGGAAAGTGGAAATTACTAATCTCAGTCTTTTAAAATCCCTTTTCAAACTCAAATTATGTAGGGATAGTATTCAAAGACAGTCCCTCTACTGGGTTCCACTTCCATTTCCCATCAAGGGGGTGGTTTTCTGTCAACTATGAGACTCCAGTCGAATCTCAAAATCACATCATCCTCACTGACAGTAACATTGCAATCTGGAAACCTGAGACAGGCTGGTTCCATGTCTGTCTCACACCCTCTTTCTCGTTAGCCCTTCCTTTACAGTATTTGTGCCAAAGCCAGTCTCTCCTAGGGCAAGGCATTCTGTGCAGTTTGGTGTTAAGCATAAAGTCGCTAACAGTTAATACCTAGAATTACAAAAACCCCTAGTAAAAGAGATTTTTTTTATCCCCTCCTCTTCCATGAGTTTCCTTTTTTTTTTTTTTTTTTTGGTGTTTTGAGGCAGTGTCTCACTAAGTATTTGAGACTGACCTGGAATTCACTATGTAGTCCAGGCTGGTCTCCAACTCATAGCGATCCTCCTGCCTCAGCCTCCCAAGGGCTGGGATTACAGGCCTGAGCTACCATGCCCGGCCCATGAGTGCGGCCCATGACTTTCCTTTCTTTGAGAGACTCTCATGTTCTGCTTTATTTCTGAATTGTTTAAAATGTTTCACGAATCTATTGCTTTGGCAACTCCATATCCGATTATTTGATATTTGAAATTTTAAAAATGACTTAATAAAACAAAGTATTGTGTTTAGGTTTACTAGACCTACATTACTAGACCTACATTGCCTCCCCTCAGTGGTTATTATGAGTCTGACATCAGTAGTTGCAAAGTATGCACATTGCTGAGGAGTGTATCAGAGATGTTCATTGAGCACACTCTTGAGCTAGGAATATGAAATGGAATCATAGCCCACGGAGCTGTTCCATTTCTACTCCTTTCCCTCCCAGTACACACTCAATTCAGTAAGGTTAGAATAATCAGGAAGCCAACAAAATGCAGGAGTTGTCGATCATGCAACCTGAAGTAGAAAAGAAAGCAGAGTCACCCCTTTGGCATCCACACCAATGTGTTAATTACAAGTAAGCACGCACGACTGTTGTTACTGCAGAGAAGAAACCAGAGATCATGAGATGCAAGCCAAGGGACTGGCAATTCTTTAGGACCTACAGTTCTCCATGAGATGCACAAGGTGGATGCCACATGGCCCCTGGTTTTACAGGCATCTGTGTAACTCTCACCCTAACTCTGATTCCCATGGGTCAAGCGCTTCACTTAAAAGTAAGAACATCCAAAGCTTAATGGTATTTAAGGCGGCATTAAAATGTCCCTGATTGTACCCAGTAAGTAATCACAACAAGGTTGCATCCAAACACTCTGGAACCTTTCCCCCTGAGAACAAGGGTGACTCTGTTTTCACAGTTATGTTCCGGTTTTGCTCCTCAGCTTATCCACATCCTGGATTCCTAGTACCAGCTTTGTATATATACTGTTTATTAGTGCCTGCTGCATACAAGGCTGGGGACTGTTCCAAATGCTCACTACAAATTTATCCAATAATCCCTCCCCAGTACTGGGACGTATCTCTAGGAAGGGAATTAAGTATGAATGAGAACAGGGCTTCTAGAGTTGAGATTGGTGAATGGAGGCTGGAGGAGCAAGGCAGGACGAAGAATTCAACAAAATGAAATACATTATGACCACATACTTACAAAACTGCAAGGATTAAAGGAAACATGTCAATAAACATGAAGTACGTTCTTAGAAAAAAATGCCCCTTGTTCATTGTGTAGTAATGACTTAAACGTGATGAGGAGACACTGGTAACCCCAAGTGCGTTTGCACATGAATTGAGCACAGAGTGAACACATAGTAACTGAAATGCATTTTTTAAAAAACCAATTTAGGAGGATCAAATTCAAGCCCAGCCTGGGCAACTTAGTGATTTAGAGAGCCCCTGTCTAATAGTAAAAAATTTTAAAAGGGTTGGGGATATAGCTCAGTGGGAAGGCCCTGTTCAATCCCCTATGATATATATATCATACAGGGTGAGATATATATAGATAGATAGATAGATAGATATCTATATATACGATATATATACATATATATCGTATATGGTGTGTGTGTGTATATATATATATATATATATATATATGTGAATTTCCTGAAAATGGTTTCAACAAACAGATATTGAATCTCAAAGGAAAGGAACATCATTACATTAAAAACTAAATGGAACCAAGGGCAAGTGAGTTTAATTGCAGCCTAGACAGAGCCCAGTGACTGAGATGGCTTCCTCTTAATGTTAAGTATGCCATCACAGCAAAATACTTTCCTTCCTCTATTAACCAATTGCTATAATCAATAACATTGTGCTAAATGCAAGGATCATCGGTGAAATCCTAGGAGCTGCTATCTGCCTTTTGTATCTATCCAGGATTTAGCAAGCCCTAGAGACGAACAGATGTTATTTATCTGGAGGAAGATACTCTTTATATTAAATGTGTCTGATCAATAAATACACAGCCATTGCATTCCACATGTGCACATGCCTTATTGGCCTCATTCTTTTGGGGGGACTATATCTAGCCAGGTCCAGTTGGTAGCTTTATTCACTATCCAATAACACTTATGGGCTGACCTGTGAGCCAAGATGTAAGATATGCATTTTTCTCATCAGGTGTGCTCACTTAATTATTGACAAGATTTTCTAATAACAACAATGAAAAAACTTAAAATGGAAGAAGATAGAGCTCTTTACAGGAAATGTTCCTGGCTAGCTACACAACAGCTTCTCGGGAGGCAGTGCCCTAGAAAGAAAAGAGTAAGGAGTTTGGAAATAAAAAGGTTTTACTTCAGCTGTACCATCTGGCTGCTTGTCTGAGCCTGAGTCTGGTTTTGATTGGTTGATTGGCTTTTGTTTGTTGTCTAAAAATGGGAATAGTGCATTCACTACCATGCAGAGAATTAGAGAAAATATATATAAAGTTTCTAACAGGGTATCTGAATATAGTACACAATCAATTAGCAAAATAATCCTTATGAATGCAGTCGGACCAGGTGACTTTAAGGATTAAGTGGCATTCCTACCGTAAGACTGTAGGGCTCTCAGTTCTAAATTTTTTGAGACTTCCCACACTGAAAAAATTTTCCAGTCCCAATGAGCATGCTTACTATGTACAAAGCAGTTTCAAGGAAAATTATTAACAAATAAGGGCAACTTGGTAATCTATTTTACACACTTTTTTTTTACTTTATTGGTACTTTTTAAGTATGTAGTACAGTTCTATTTTACTCATTTTTATAACTGTTCCTCAAGTTAAATAAGTGGAAATCACCTAAAAGGCCCTACCAAAAAGCAAGCAACAGCCTCTGACAGTTTGCTCCCCACAAGATAACTCTGAATTAGGTTTAATATAACATGAGGCCTTTGTAGAAAGATAACATAGGTTCTCCTCAGGAAACAGGAAGGGCAAAAGTGGGAGAAGTAACTCCAGAACAGAGCCCACCATCCTGGGTTAGGGAAGCCATGGATGGGGCTGAAGACCCAAGGACTTGGGTGGTTCTTTTCGGAGCTTGGGAGTGTGTGCTGATGGACAGTGAAGCCCCCACCTCCACCTCCAGGAACAGGAAAGGCAGGAACAGGGAGTTCACCCTGAACCTGGGAGAGAGGATGGAGGCAGGCAGGGCAAACAAGGACAACGGACGATGGGGCAGAGGTCAGTCAACAGTTGTGATCACCCACCCTTTCAGTCAAAGGGTTGATCTTCCCCATATTCCCGCATGTTACAACATACTATTGATAAATTACCTCCGTGTCCTATATAGAAGTATGTCATAAAACCTTCACAGAGTGCAGATGTTTACATTGAAAAAGATGAAATCTACTTAAACAGAAGTTGTAATATTGTATTCTTCACCTCAGTCTTCCTGAGTAGCCACTTTGGAGACCACTTGTAGAAAAAAGGTGAACTTACTGAGGTGGGAAAGTGTGGCCTTGGTGCCCCATATAGACATTTAAAAGACAAAAACATCAACAACTTCTCCTTAGTTAAAAAAAAAAAAACACAAAAAACAGACTCTCACCAACGCAGTGAACAGATAGGAACACTGCCAGATAAGAACTTGATCCCCCAGTGCTGTCTCTCTCTAGCTTCCAGCTCTCTTTCTTGCTGGCTTTCTGATCGCCCTTTTCCTCAAAGGCTGGCAAGGACATTTCCTGAGACAGAAGGCTTTCTGCCATTAGTGTGCTCAGACCGTTGTTCGGTTGTGACCACATCTGACCAGCAAGAGTGTGGCTTATAATACATAGCTCTTTTTAATTGGAAAAATGGAAGCACTTTGTTTGGAGTGTGTATTCTGGAGAGACAACTTTATAGAGTTGTCTTTATGTAGATTGAATACAATTAAGCACTAGGTCCATAATGAGTTTTGCTCATTTGGTTGTTGTTTTTTTGCCAAATTGACTTAAAAATACTTTCCTCTGAAAACAGGTTTATTATAGTGAATAAAAAGCCATGTTTTATAGAATTGTCCTTATCAACACTATTGAGGAATTTTTATATATGTGCTTCATTTTATTACTGAAAAGAGAAACACAAATAAACCTGTAGCTGGTCTAGAGAAATGGCCAAAGAAAACCAGACTTGGAAAAGCATTTGCTAACCCTTTGTACAGTTAGCTGTATTTTGCAGCCAGGACCCTGCGGCACCCCAATGTACAGAGCTTCCATGGAACTACCAAAACTACATGTGTCGTCTCAGTTTGCAAAGCTTTCCCTTGAGAGAAATAGCTGCTTTCTCTCTCTAAATGTTGGCACTCACTTTTCAGCATACATCGGGTGGCTCTTGGCTGTCAAGAACTTTGTATCGGGTGACTGTGTCCTTAGAGATGCTTTATCTTCCACTGCACCTTCAGGGAATGGCAGCTGGCCTGTTGCTTCTATCTGCTTAGCCAAGCCCAGCGATGGGAAATGGTTTTCAATGACAAGAAGCAGTTGAGCAGAATTAAAAGAAGCTGCAAAACTCAGCCTGTGTAGGATTGGGGGACATATTTTTAGATCTCAATTTTTTAAATATAGGAATTAATTCTAGCGACTAGCAGCAATTAAGGAAAAGTCGTATTACTGTATGCTTCCTTTTGTAATAAAACACTTTATAATTGTAACAGTTTTGTTGTTTCTTTAGCTCCTTTTATTCAGTTTTGTCAAGGTATAGTAAGGATAGCAGCCAGTGCTGTGAACCAGGGTTTAATGGACACCACTCTCACCCCATGGCATCCACAGGTTTTCTAGGGTCAGGGACGCTTGAGAAAGGAAAAAGGCAGAGACCACAAAGACTCTCGGAAAGACAAAATGCCATGGTAGAGTTTTTCATCTTATAAAATACTGACTCTTAAAAGAATGATTTTTGCACACTCATTTATAGCCAATTTCACTATTTTTCTTGAGTGAACTTTCTATTATTTTTTTCGCAATTATATAAGTGAGCTGATTATACAGGTTACTGAATGTAGGAATTATTATAACAGCAACACTTTTTACAGGTTACAGCTCAGATTGTGGAAGGAATAGGAACAATTTTTTTCTGGTCTGCCCAGAATTCAGGTTCATAATTCCTTGGCTTCAATTAAATGCTGAATCTTAAGCCCTTTCACAAATTAGTATGAATCCTTAGTCCAGATGTGAAGAAAATTATATTTCACTTAAAGCAACAAGAACACAGACAGTGGAAAATCAGAATATACTAACGCAAGAAAAATGGAAAATCTCTTTTTTAAAAATCTGTTAATCAGGAATGTATGACAGGTCCAAAAGGCACAAGGCCGAACTGTACCTTTGGCCTAATTGTGTAAGAGTTTGCCAAATCTATTGCCAGTGAAACACATTTCAGAGAGAAGACTGAAACTTCAAAAAGACTCTTAATTCTAGACATTTACAATACTGAATGATATCCTAGTTATAAATAATTCTTATCCATACTTAAATCCATCTTGAGCCTCTACTAAGTAAGTCTTCCTTAATCTACTTATAGGATTTGCTATAGTGAAGGTGGCCTCTCATTTTTAAAATGAAAATGAAGTGAATTTTAAAATGAACATTGAGAGCCTTTTCCTAAATCACCCTGTCCTTCCCTACCAGTTTGCTATTAGCACAGCAGGTCATGGGATGTAAGAAATTAATAGCTGAAATCTAAAGCAGCCTACCTGGGTTCAGAACTCTCTCGGACCACTCAGGATGCTCTTTAGGGTCAACGATGCCTCAGTTTCCTTCTCTGTAACGTCAGAAAATTATACTTAAAAGATTTTTAAAGCACTTAGTGTCTAAACCCTTGAAAGATAGCTCGTGTATATATCTATAGCACAGGCCATAGGTGCAAGTTAGGCTCAGTCATACTCCCAGGGCACCACTGAAAATTGAGTGAGGTGGTGAACATTTGAGAACACATGGATTTTTAGTTCCTCTTTTTTTTTTTTATGTCAAGGATCAGGGAGTATTTTCACACAGCAGTGCATCACAACATTTGGATGCCTCAGTCTTCTTTTCTCCTGGCCTGCAGGCACCCAGCCTATCCTGCCAGGTACTTCTGGTTAATTATACTTAAGTTTTATCCAGGTCATCCCTTCTCTGTCTCTACAAAATGATCTGCATTTCTCTAGCGTTCCGGCTAGAACGCACCAGCTCCCTGAAGTCTCCCTTATCAGTGTGCTCCCTGGACTTGGGCACAGCTCTGCTTGGGAATCCTTCTCAAATAAATCGCTCAGATCGCTACAGGCTTTCTGAGTCACCGTGGCATCATCTGAATTTTCATTAAAATGTGGAAATCTTACATCGCTATCCTGAGCTGTCGGACAAAATTTCTGCATCCGGATACAAGAAGATGGGTGCGCTGCTGCTCTAGTGGCTGGTGTGAACGACCAGGGGAGGCGAGCTCGGCGACGGTTCATTCGGACAGGGCAAGGGCGAGGGAAATAGGCTAGTGACGCACCTGAATAAGTCCGCTAGAGGAAAGGCGATAAACTAAGGCTTGAGGTCGTGCGGGGAAGGAGAAGCTGACACACACAGCGCACGGATGGGGGAGGCAGAGGGAAGAGGCGCCAGGTATCTGACAACGTTCCGGCCCCGATCCGGACCCGGTCTCCCCCCTCCGCCGCGCCCCCTCCTCCGCACCTCCGGCGACGACCGACAGCGCATCCCT